CCTCCATTTGCTCTCCAGGTTGCAACAGCGGCGGGGACTCCAAACCCGCGGGACTACCAAACCAGCCTCGTCACTGGCCTCGGCCCAGATACAGGAAGTGAACTGGTTGGCTGGTTTGCTCGTTTGCTTGTTCGTTACGACTAGCAAATAGGTGAGAACTCATGTAAGTGAATAAAACTAGAGCTTGTGCTATTCTTGAAATGGAAAAAGCAGCTTATAAAGCTTTGTCTTGTTTTTCTGGGCAAACCATCATCCATTCGGGGGTTTGTTTTTATACGATGTTGTACCATATAGAGATGATGCTATCTCCACACCAGCTGAGCCTTCAAAGCTCCTTCCTCTACTCCTCCCATACAGAGAGCATGACTTGAAAAAACAAGTGTAGTCAATTCCAGTATGGTTTGGCTTCCTCAGCTTGTTAACATTCTTTAAAAAAAATTCTTTGTTTTCGTCTCAGCTATGGAAGCAATTCTAAATTGATGCTTTTACAACTCAGTGTTCCCAAACACTCCCTGTGATCTCGGACATCTGAAACTGTTATGCCTCAAGAAAGCTTTGCTTCCAGAAGACAAAATTTTCTGCAATTTCCAAGAATTAGCAATCCACAAGATGTCCCCAGTGCTCAAAACAGAGCCACTTAAAATCAGTAGACTCATTAGGAATGGCTAGGGCATCTTGCTGGCGCTCCTTCATTGCATCAATGTTAAATTTCATTAAGGGATATTAAACCAACTTTGTCACATTTTCTCTTGGTAAGTGGTCACTGTAGGTCCTCACAGAAGGGGAAGGATCCGTAAAATTGTCTAGAACAGAGGAAAGGTCTCTACAGTACAGCTGGTTAGGACCTGGTAGTCACCCATCACTTGCTTACTCTTGCTTTTAGGGAGCGCAAGGACTGCAATCTTTCTTGATGCTTCTTTCTAAGTCTTACCACCTCTTAATTTAGCACAGTTCTGGCTTTCTGGGATTTTAATAAAAATGGTCGATCGGTAATTTTACCTGTGGTGTCGTTGCGTGTTAAGAATACTCTTATCCTTGGTTGCCCCATTAAATAAAGACTGGCCAGATGGACAATTCTCCATTTTTCTCTCCTGGCCGGGTTACATCTAATTAAAAGCAGTTCCCTCCTTCTACTCTTACTGCACGCTATACATACCATCCAGATGTCAGCACTGGTAATTTCAGCAAAAGCACACAAAGATACGGCTAAAACTTGCTGTTGTTGTTTTGTGGCTCCCCCCCCCGCCCCCCAGGGGAGGCAGGGAGACAAAGTTCCAACTGAGCAAAATAAAATTAAAAGTAGCTCAGTTTTTTCTGTCTCAGTAGCATGTGCCATGGTATATAATGGATGTTCCCTGCTTCACAAAGGAAATGAAAGAATGAACTTATACGGCTGATGAAATAAAGATATCAAAGTATTACTTGCCCCAGCTGATATGTACACTTCACATATAATTACTATTTAATATCTTTGTTTCCTACAAACCAGAAAAAAAGCTTACCCTCTCTCCCAATTCCCTCTTCTTGTAAATAAGCTGATGCAGAATCTTCTAGATTTGCAGTTTCTACTTAACTTTCTTCTTGAATTTATTCTCTTCTTTGCAAAGTAATGTGGTCTACAAAACGAAGCTATTTAAAATCCTAAATGAATAAGTGTTATAAAAATAATAAATTAGTATACAAGACTGACTTGCACAAAACATATGTTGTACTCTGAAATATATTTAGATGGGAGCGCATAATTGCCTGTTCCATTCCTAATGGCCTGAAGCACAGCGCTAAATCTGAACTTTTCCCAAAGTCTATGCAGTGACAGAGCGCCGCCCCCTCCCTGCTTCCCAACCGACTTCGGGTCCCCATCGCCTTTCACGCACTGTCTGCAGGAGCCACAGCCAGCTGCAGCAGCCTCAATAAATCTCAGCTTCCCCCAGACCACGGGAACTAAATAGCAGCAAATGTCTGTCAGCAGAGGGAAGGATGGAAGAGAGGGCAGTGGAAGAGCTGGTCAGAGCAAAGGGCAGCAAGCCCAGGAGACCACACTGTGAGCGCTTCCAATTCCCCGTGGTGGGGGTCCAGGTCCTGCCGCGCTGGCCTCTGACCTGAGCTCAAAAGACACGTTAGTCCCTGTATGCCCCATGTTTGGCTCTCTCACAGGCTCCACACTGGAATGAACCCAGTGATGCTCCTGGTCCTGCCCAGCCTCCCCCCACCCACAGAGGGGGCCCAGGAGCCCTGCTTCAGCTCAGCCCTTGGCCCTCAGTGCCGGTCTCCAGCTCTGCCTCCAATGCCAGGATGGACCTCGGACCTGCGTTGTTGGTAGCTGCCTCCCGGCTGGGGCCCTCAGACATGCCTTGTCGTATGCCTCCAGCCCAGTCCCCTGCTCCTCCTGATGGGACCCCCAGCCCAGGGTCATCCCCTCGCATAGCCTAGGGCTGTCCACAGACCAGTACCTGGCTGGTACCAGCAGCTTCTGTAGGAGGAGTGAGAGACGAGGCTTTGGGTCACATCGGGGCTCCACAACCACAGCAAATACACAGCAAAAACAACTCACGTGGGTCACGGAGAAGTTAACAAAGACAACCAGTCACTCTGCAACACTGAGCCTTCTGCTGATACCTCAGAAAAAAACCACCCCAAAACCAGAATCATCTTTATTTGAATGTGCTTACAGATTCTGTAACTTTTACATTTTTTCTTCTTTTTCCCCCAAAATTACAGGTTTCAACAGAAAAAAATGTTTACATGATGTGCCAAATCACCTTCTCCCAAAACACTGGTTGGCTTGGAGTTGCATAGTATTTCAAATCAGTGTGTCTGTAATGTTCATGGAAAAGGGAAGCAGCTATCTTCAACTTTCCAGGAAGCCAAACCTCTCCCTCTGCAAATGGAGCCTGTTCCCTCTGAAGCAAAGTAACCAGCAGCAGCCCATGTGCACATCAAAAAGAAGAGGGGCCGTCACCAGAAATATAAACAATTCCTCCTGGCAAGTTCATTAATTGACACGTAACTCCCGTGGAAACAGTGAGGTTGTTCTCAGAGGTACTCACGTTTAAGTAGTTAGGCACCAAAGTTGGACCTTCATTCATTTTAAGGAACTACACAACCTAGAAACTAAAGCATCTCCAAAAAGTAGCTTATATCTTTACCTTAAATGTCCAAAAGACAACCAACAACAAAAAAGTGTACTTTGCAAGTGAGGTGAATCTTCCTGTTATGGAAGGATTGGAATACACTCTAACATTTACATGGCTAGAGCAAACCAGCAGCAAAATCCAGTGTGCAGTTGCTGGGAGGGCAGGGCAGAGGGTCAGCCTGGCAAGCACCTGGTGGGAGCTGACTCCATGTAACGGGCTCTGTATTTCTGAAAGCCCAGCAGCAGAATTTTCCTCTAAATGCGCAAACAGGCATTGGATTTTTCCTTCAGGAAACTGGCAGTGAAATCAGAAGGAAAACCTGTGGCAAAAAAAGGGCCACTTTCCGGGAAAACAAAGGTGTGAAAATATAGTCACAGCTCAGCCTTGTTTTCTGTGTTGAGACCTAAACCAGAAAAAGGCTGAGAGCCTTGGATGAACTACTTCCTGGGGAATTAAGGCCTATTTTTAGTGCCGAGCACTGCATATAGGATTTTGCTTTCTGCATATGTTGTTTCCTGACATTTTTTTTCCCTATTCAGCTTTCCTATCTGCCCAAGGTGTTTTGTAGAGCGCTAGTGATTCAGGTGGTATAACCAAATAAATAACTGAGTTCTTATCTTTATGAAGCTCAGATCTCTTTGTAATAAATGTACCTTGTAGCTTGATTTACAGCAAAATCCTCCTCCTCTTACTTCCCTGATGAGACCTACTTAAGGCAGTGAGACTAGTCATGATGATAAGATAATTAAGTTTTTAGTACAACTCTGGTTAGTGAGCAGAATGCAGTTCTGAAATAATGAATCTACCAGCTCCGGTCTGATATTCAAAAGGTGTTGATGATTTCAGTATTATTCTTAACGTGCTCTGAGAAAAATACTTTTTCCATTAAAGCTGTAAACCCCGTATAGGACACAATTCAAATCACCTTTTAAATTAAAGAATTGCTTTTAGAATGGCAAAGTTGAAGTTCAGCCAGCATAGCGGTGACACCTGCAAACTGACAGCCAAAACCCCCTACATTAAAATGGAAAGATTTGCATGAACGTGTTTTTAAATGACAGGAGACAGGAATGGGAGCTTCTAAGCAAGTTAGACTAAAATTTTAAGAGTGAAATGCCTAAAAATAGGCCCCTGAATGCATAGTTAGGCACCTATATAGAGGCTGCTTGATTTTCAGTTGTTCTGATCACCCAGAGCTCCCATTAACTTCAGGAGCAACCGTGGATACTCAGCTGTTCTAGAAATCAAGCCACCTTTATTCAAGGGTCTAAATATGGATGTCTGTGCCCAAGTTTGGGGGGAAAAAATACAAAATAAAAAAGGAGGGTTTTTTGCTACATTTTGTAAAAGAAAGTAATAGCCAAGTTTCATTTTCTCAGGTTACAATGCCTGGAACTGAATCAACATAACAATTAATAGTGCAACACATCTGTGGCAGAAGATTTTGTCTGAGGTGAATGGAAAGCCATTCCAAGATCTGTAGCTCTTAATTAGCAATGTGAAACATTCCATAGATATTTCATATTCTGTGACCGCAAAGTGTTACTGGGCCACCTAAATCTTTTTCATAGTATTTCAGCGTTGCCATTAATAAGCTTTTCAGGCTGGTCTGAGGAAGACTTTGCAAGATTAACTTTGCAAATCTGTAAGTATTAACTATTTAACTATTTCAGAATTACCATTTTTTCTGCTTTTGGATCAAGTACAACCAGCAGACTTGAGCATATTTTTAAATACTATAAAATATGAAGAAGGGAGAATTAGGCCTTTAATTCTATCATATGCACTTGGTTGTCAGAAGACTTCCGAATGCTGTTTGCTTAAAGATCTCTTTTGTAAAAGTAATCCTGAGTTGATTTTTTTTGTCTAAGCCATTGCCAGGTCATGCTGAAGTGCATAAGAGCCAGTCACATGATAGAAAATCTGCAAGAAAAAAGAAGATTTATGATGGAATTATATATGACTATAAATCTGAAAGTGTCAAGGAAGTAACAAATAAAAGGCATGCCAGATGAAGATGATGGATATTTGTTTGTGTGTGTGTGTGTGTGCACGCGCATAAAATATGATGTAATATACCTTTATATACTTGTTTATAGGATCTGAACTAAGGGCTCTTGCTGCTTTCCTCGGAAAAAAAGAAAAAGCAACAAGAGTCTTTGCTTTTTAACTAAGTTTTCAAAAAGAGCCGGGTAGAAGACAATGCTTTACTCTCAATGTAATCTGATTTTGATGACTTCAGTATTATTTTGTGATATTCAAAGTATCCAAAATTGCTTATGCCTTTATCTGGCTCTTTTCAAACTGTTCTTTTAACTGTACTGTCTTGGGGGCGGGGAAGCGTTCTCCCCATTTTCTATGTTTATTTGGGGTTTTTTTGATACCTGTTTGTTTTGTTGAATATAATGATTGGGACATTTTATCTTACATGTTTTTAAATGGCACGGTATAGCAGAGCTTTGGTCATGACTGGGGCACTCGTGCAGTCCCTGGCAGATAAAAGGATGCCATCCTTCAGAAATCAGAACAAATCGTGCGACACCATCAGTGGCTCTGTTGCAAGACTCAGCAGCGTTGGCAGTGGCAACAAGAAAGCTCATGCTGCTTTGTCATAACCAGGGGCATAATTTTAGGTCAAGAGTGAGGCAAAGGTACCGTGGCAATGAAGCAAACCAATATTATTGTCATTGCAGGAGTGAGCCAGGGGTTTTTAACAGTCATGAATATTCACCTGACATCTCTCAGCTGTTCTATATTTCTTAAGACATGTCAGTGTTTCAGTTGCTAGGAAAGGGGGGCAAAGGGAAGAGACTGATGCTTTTTTCCTCCACCAAATCCCCTACATCTCATGTTCTCCCAGCAGCAGGAACAGCACAAGGGCTCTCAAACTTTTTTCATGGTTAAAGCAAATATCACCTCATCTCCTGGGCTTCATGAACATGGGAGTGAAGTTCAGCAGCCCTAATGGTTTAGTAGTTCCTATGACACTACACTGTTCTCAGCTACGCTGTAGCCTTTGGGGTTGATACCCTGTGCCAGTGAGGTTGGCTGCGGGTAGACAGGTCGGAACCCTTCTTCCCACCAGGAACTACACATTGCCACTGCACCTTATACACTATTTGTCTGCCAGGAAACACAACAACCAGCCTGCACAAAAATAAAAGCAATTAGACAAACGAGGCTTTGTAGGAGGCAATTGCTTTTCTTCCCCAGGAAATAATCAATATGTAAAAACTTCTCTATCAGCAGTACCATATGTAGGATGAGACGTGACTTTCTCCACAGCGTGGAAATATATTGTGAACAGTTGCAGCGCAGTGACACAAAGGGTCTGGGAGATATTTTGAGGGTCAGCTGAACTGGCAACAGCTAGGAGTGCAGGGGAGTGAGCTACCATGCATTTGCAAAAGACTCAAACTCTCTGTGTATAAACTGAGCCTCCTTGCTCACTGCATTGCAAACCTGGCCCAGGCAATTGCCAGCTGCTGGAATAACAGAGTCCCAGATGTCTGCATGACAGGCCAAATTTAAAGAAATACTAGGCTGGAAGCGAACCTGTCGTTAATAATGAATTAGATGTATGTTCTATTATCTTTTAAACAGCACCAAAAAGCATATTCTGCAAAAAAAGTAAGCCAGCACATTTAGAAAGATTATTTTTTCCCCTCCATCAAGCTGAAAACCGTTAACAACTAACCTGTTTCTCAATGTCTTCCAGCAAACTACTGGCACCCAGGCGAAAGAGCTCTGGTGTTAGCCATTCCACTCCCAGCTCCTCCTTCACCAGCATAAGCCAAGTAATAGCTTCTTTCGCCGTCCGAATGCCCCCAGCAGGTTTAAATCCAACCTTTACAAAGAAAAAAGAAGTGCAATACACATTTTCATTCATCAGCAACACTAGAAGAGCAATCAGCATTTGTACACCTGCAGTCTCAAAGTGCCTGTGGTGTATGTAACAACTCCACTCGGTAAGTATCTGACTGCAAACAGTATAAGCTCCGGACGACAGCCGAGCGCTATCAAGCCTCAGCCGTCACTGCAAAAGGTAACATTTTCCTCCCGAGGGACAGCATCTGAGGGAGTAATACTTTTGACCCCAGCCCACTTTTTCAGGAGCTGGGTTTGAGGTCTAATGAGAGTACTTCACCCACAGCACATATTAGGCCAAGGGATTTAGGCAGGACTTGGGATACCTGCATATCACCTACTGCCCACGTCGCAATCTAATTCCAAATATATAACAACAAATATACATGCAATAGCACAACATTGAAGATGCTGAAATAAAGCACGTGAGGCAGCTGACTCATGTGGAGAGCAGTGAGAGATGGTTGTACTTTATTTTATAAAGCCTGTGCACCACAGTCACGCATGATTGGGCTGAACATTCAAACTTAACCAGAGGTTTATTTTTCACTAACAATTTCCAAATGGGAATTAAATTAGGTCTGTCTTTACCAAAAATGGAAAGTTTTGTGCTTCACAGGAACTGAAAAACTTCTCTCCCAGCACATGCAAGTCCCCATCCCTGGAGGTATTTAAGAGACAGGTAGATGAGGTGCTTAGGGACATGGTTTAGTGGTGGGATGGCAGGGTTAGGTTAATGGTTGGACTTGATGATCTTTAAGGTCTTTTCCAACCTAAACAATTCTATGATTCTATACAGGTCATGTTTGGTCAGGTGAACTGCCACGTTCGTAGAGGCACACATGCCAATTGCTCTGGAGCCCTCAGCACAAGAAGGACATGGAAGTGTTGGAGCGGGTCCAGAGGAGGGCTACTAAAATGATCCAAGGGCTGGAGCACCTCTCTTATGAGGACAGGCTGACGGAGTTGGGCTTGTTCAGCCTGGAGGAGAGAAGGCTGCGGGGAGACCTGATTGCGGCCTTTCAGTACCTAAAGGGGGCCTATAGGAAAGA